TTCCTTCCTCTCTGAAATCAATAATATATATGTACACTGAGTGGCCAGATTATTATGATCTCTGAACACATAATAATCTGTCCACTCAGTGTATATCCTCCTATATAATAAAAGGCTAATATTCAAATTGTCCCCTCGACCAGGAGTTTGATCAGCAGGCAGACCAGCCAACCACCCATGCCCCCTCCCCTTGGCCAGGCTGGCCAGACCCTACTATGCATGAATTCGTGTACTAGGCCTGTAATATATTACACACACACACACACACACACACACACACACACACACTCTGAGTGGCCAGATTATTGTGCATTCAGAGTTCATAATAATCTGGCCACTCAGTGTATTTGTACCTCAAATGGGTCCAAAAGTATTCTAGAATTTTGCTGGAGATCAACCACCTATTTGTGCTGGGCTTTCTATCAGCCAGTGTAAAGGGGGAAACTGATCAGGTGCATGATTTATAGTATCTTTGATATCATAGTATTGTACTATACTTTTCTTGAGTACCTCATTTATTTGTTATCAAAGATACTATAATATAAATCATGCATGTGATCAGTTTTCCCCTTTGCACTAGCTGATAGAAAGCTCAGGGCAAATAGGTGGTTGATTTCCAGCAAAAGTCTAGAATACTTTTGGTATCCATTTGAGATACAAATATAGACACACATGTGCGCGCACGCACACACACACACACACACACACACACACACACACACACAGACACATACACATACACACTACAATATATATCCAGATCCCCTGAAACCTTTTTTAAAAAAAATATATTTTATTGATTTTGTACAGAGAAGAAGAGAGGGATAGAGAGCTAGAAACATTGATGAGAGAGAGTCATTGATCAGCTGCCTCTTGCACACCCCCTACTGGGGATGTGCCCGCAACCAAGGTAAATGCCCTTGACTGGAATCGAACCCGGGACCCTTCAGTCCCCAAGCTGACACTCTATCCATTGAGCCAAACCAGTTTCGGCAAGATCCCCTGGAACCTTTTTAAAAAATATCTTTATTGTTAAAAGTATTACAGATGCCACCTTTGTCTATCTCCTCCCCTCCATTGCCCCTTTCCACCTGGTTCTTGCTTCACCCTCCCCAGGCCTTCACTGTACTATTGTCTGTGTACATGGGTTATGCATATACATGTACTACAACATTCATTAGAGAGGAGGGATCCTTCAGCCCATCCTGTGCCCTTTTGCAGTCCAGGAGTTCTCAGAAAATGTCCAACTGATGGCTTAGGCCCACTCCCTGCTTAAGCCACAGTGTGACATCCTTAGTGTTGCCCATTTGTGGCTGAGCTACATTCCCTCTGTGGGAATGGACTGGCCACCAGGGGGCAGGTCCTTCATTGAGTGTCTGCCCCTGGTGGTCAGTGGAGGTCATAGGGACTGCTAGGTCTGCTGTTTGGTCAATTTACATTTATTATACAGGATATGTTTTGTTGTTGTTGTTGTTAATCTCTTCCTGTCCCCCTTCCCTTGCCTCTGACATTTGACAGTGTGTTTTATGCATCCATGTCTTTGGATCTATTTTGTTGCCAGTTTATTTTGTTCATGAGATTTCACATAAAAGTGAGATCATGTGAAACATATCTCTCTGACTAGTTTATTTAGTTTAGTATAATACTCTCCAGGTCCAATGCTGTCTCAAAGAGTAAGAGATCCTCCTTTTTTTCTTTTTTTTTTCTTTTTTGAGTTGCATAGTGTTCCAGCTGATTCAGCAGTTCTGAGTGGGACCTAAAATTCTGCATCTCTAACCAGGCCCCAGGTGATGCCATGGGCCACACTCTTGAGTAGAAATGCATTTATCTTCTGGAAATAAATCCCTTTTGTGTGTGTGTGTGTGTGTGTGTTTCTGTTTTAAAGAAATCTTTCCTTTCTTAAAACATACTTTCATTGGATCTTTAGATTGCTTTAGGTAGTATGGACATTTTATGGATACTGATTCTACCAATATAATGAACAAAATAAACTGATGAATAACATAGAACCAGAGACACAGACATAGAATATATTGACAGATTTCAGAAGGAAAGGGGGTTGGCAGCACAGTGATTAACTGGGGAACTTATAGGCATATATACATAACCTATGGACACAAACAATAGAGTGGTGAAGGCCTAGAAGGGGCAGGTGCAGGGTGAAAGGGATCAATGGGGAAAAACAAAACAAAAGAGGACATCTGTAACACTTTTAATAGTAAAAATAAATTTAAAAAGATAATAATTGTATATCCTTTGCCTCTGAAATGAATGGCTAGAAACCTGCTAGACTTGTATCACACAGTGACCACAGCAGTGTCCACCATAGTTGAGGCCTTATTTCTGGATTTTCCCTTGCAGCCAGGTGGCATGTTATGCATACACTGCATTCAATTTTAGGGGGAAATGTTTTGGGAACTTTCTTCAGGAGAGAGAACTTCTGTGCTGTTTTTAAAACATCTTTCTAATTTCTCGGGTATCATACAGCAGGCAGTGGGGAAGCCACTTCAGCTCACCCCTGGTGCTCTTCAAGCTTCATGGCGATGCTGCTCAGGCACCATCGTCAGCAGATCCTGCTTTTATGCGACATTGAAAGGACTTCGGAAGCACTGCTTCATTTCTGTCTGGAAAAGCCAGGGACTCGCTGACAGTGTGATTTCTCTCCCTGAAACGTGGAAGGATAATTGGTGAAAAATGAAACATTAGCACAGTGATCCTTCTTCACTGGGGGCCAAGGCCATGAGCAGTGTGGTACTTTCACTCTCAGTAGTTTTGGACATGGCCTAAAATAAATCATAACCCTAAGGGGAGAAAAGTTTTATTTCTTTCGAGGGGTATTTGAGAAAATGGGAAATCCATTGAAATTTGATTTTCACTTCATTCATGGAAAACCAAACTAGCCAACTAGTTTTGTTTACTTCCTTGTACACACCTGCATGTGCAGGCATGCTCACTCACATGCATGAGCGCACATACATATACACATACACACACACACACACACACACACACACACGCCTTTGAAGTTCAGAATAAAAAAAATGATGAGCAAAATATAATTTAAATCTAAGCCTTTCTTTTGCAGTATAAGCTCTAAACTCTCAAGTTCAGACTCAGAGGTAAAATAATGAACTAGATGAGAATGAGAAAGAGCCCAAAAATAGAAGATTATTGGAACAAGATAATTTTAGTAAAATGAAGACTGAGAATCTGGCCATACCCAGGTTTGTAGTTTAAATTCCTTGAAGACAAAAGTACATTTTTCATTCCCAAACCAGAGTCTAAATGGAAGCCTGGCATCTGAGCATTGGCAGATTTAAACCTTAACTTTTGATTCTCTAAGCAGATTGGTCTTAGCTAAGTTGGAAAATGCAGGGATCAGATGGTGCTTAAAGAGAGGGTAGTGTTGCCCATGGAGCCGTTGGGTGAGGGAGACAGTTAAAAAGACTGTGTTTGAATAAACCTGGAGATGGAGGATAAACCACGGGTGAGCCAGACAATTCGAAATCTCCTAAGCTAAAGCTTCCTTGGCCTGAGCTTTAAAACAGGATCTGAGGACAATTCTAAGGGGTATTTTTCTTGTGGCTATGTTTAGATTAAAAGAAAAAAAAAAGGAATAAAATAGAACAGTAAAGTATATAGTGTCAATAGAATGGGCACAATTATTCACTTCTGCATTTTTCATCCATAAAACCACTATTAAATACAATGTCATCTCAAGCATTGTGAAGAAGGAAGTGTGACAGATCAAGTAAGAAAGCACCTTGTTGTCTAAAATGAGTTCAGATATCAGGAAGTCAGTGGTGCAGATTCAGGTAGCACAGACTATCTCTGGGATATGATGGGAAACAAGCATGATATCAGAAATAGGAGCTCCTATCATTTACAGCAGTGTCAAATACTTCTCAGGAGGCTTAGAATGGAGGGGAGAAAAAGTTTAGATGCTATTCTGTGACAAATAATAGGGAGCTTACTGTGGATGGTGGATTAGTGAATGATTGGGGTCCATTGATGCTTCCTAATATAGGGGCTTCGTAAAAGCCTCTGGGAATTAATGCCCAGGAAGAGAAGAGCCCATTCGCAGGGTCTACCTAAGCACTGTGTATAGCTCCCTTTACTTTTTTCTGTCTTACCCCCTTCGACCATGGAGTCATGCTGCAGGTAGGAGAGACCTGGTCACAGCTTTTTTATCATCTTGGACATGTTTGGCACATGTCAGGGCCACCGGAGTAGCTGCCACATGTACCTACTCATTTGATTTTGATTTCTAAAGTAGGAACAACTAGCTTGGATTTTTAAAATAATTTATTTAACTCTTTGGTAATTAAATGAAATAAGTCATGATGGGAAGACAAGAGAATCCTCTAGTAGATATTTTGACCATGAGCTCATATATTTTAGTGTCATTGTGGCTAAGCTGATAAAATGACATTATCTATCAGTGTTTTTCAGTTGGCCATCCATTTATGGGTGATGAATTCAATGTTGTGGATTGGATTTATAATTTAAAAATGAAGTAGAATATAATAGAGACAATAGCAAATGAATGTATCACTGCTAATAGAGTTAAATGCTGGTTTGTGAAATGCATGTTTCAGTTACATAAACACATATGTATAAATGTGCTGAGTGATGATGCAAAGTGCATTTCCACTGAGAGACATGATCAGAAAAATGTGAAACCACTGATCAACATCAGTGTATTTCTGTTAGAAAGAATCTTAAGTGAACAGTTTGAGATTTTGCACAGGCATTTTAATCCTTTCAATGTCTAGTTGAAATAGGCATTATGTTTTACTGTGTTTATGAATCAACCCTTAATAGCTTCAAAAGGTGAATTCACTCTCAGTGGCTTAAAATCATTAATTAACTTGAGCCTTCCCAGTTGCTTATAAATGTCAGAGGCTGAATTTGACCATGGATCTGCTTTAGCCACACTAAATTTGTATGTTTGTCAGAGTTCAAAGTCAGGCAACAGAAGGCCAGGTAATCAGCAAAAACCTAGGAAATAGGGAAAAGACTGCAGGTGGAGAAAGTAGAAATTTAAATAATCTTCTTCCACTGTTTATCCTTATTTATTTGAACTAGAAAAAATTTATAGTACATTATTATCATATATTATGTATTAATATGTAATTATACTAAATTAATTTGAATAATATAATATTATCTATATATATAAAAGTCTAAGAGATCATTACAACCAGACAACTGTCTAGTAGCTATGTTGTACACTAACCACCAGGGGGTAGACGCTCAATGCAGGAGCTACCCCCTGATGGTCAGTGTGCTCCCACAGCCAACCTCCTGCAGTGGCCAAACTCCTGTGGTCTCTCCCTCTGGCTTGCTGGCCCCTATCAGGACTGGGTGAGAGGGCCCCAATCAGCCCCAATCACCAGCCAAGCCAAGGGACCCAACCCGTGCATGAATTCATGCACTGAGCCTTTAGTACGTTAATAAAGTTGCATTGCTCTCTGTTTCAATTAATTCTAAGCTCCATATGAGGTAGAAAATAAAACAAACAAACAAAACAACAACAACAAAAAACACACAACAAACTACACAGCTTCAAGATGTTCTATGTGAATAAACAAAACCTCTAAGTTTAACATCAAGAGGCTATTTTTGCTGTTCCTAGTGGACATGAGGCCTAGATCATGATTACAAACTGAATAGTCAAGTTATGATAAAAGGATGGTTACTTGAATGGAAAATTCATGCTTTAAGGTTTTTTTTGAGACAGAAACAGAAGAAAAATAGAGGAAAAGTAAGAAAGAGGAAAGAATAATTATTTCCAATAAATATGTGATTTTTAAATTCTATAAATTATTTCTTGATATATTTTGTGGTAAAACTTATCAATAAATAATTTATATAATTTAATACATATTTGTGTGTTAGTATATAGTGATATTGATTTAATAATAATATAATATACATTTATAAAGTTATATTGCTATCTGTTTCAATTAATTCTAAGTTCCATATGAGGTAGAAAAGAAAAGCAAAAACAAAAACAAAAAAGAAACTACACAGCTTCTACCATATTTGTGCTTTTCAGAGGTTTTAGGATTCCCAGTTACGGGTTTGTAGATCAGTACTTAGTAAGTACAGGGTTTGGGTCTTGAACATTTATTTTGAGAGTCCACATCTCTGTGTTTCTTTTTGTGTAGGCACATTCTGCACATTGGTGTGAAGTTCTTTGGGTAATTACTCATGCCAATGGAGATTACTTTGGAGTCTGAATTTTCACATGATGGTCTTAGAAAGAACAAATTATTAGCTTAAGTTTAATTTAAAAATTTGAGTTGAAAGAGCGTGGATGCTATATTAATCAGCTTGGGCTGTCATAACAGAATATCACAGATTGAATTGCTTGGACAACAGAAATTTATTTCTCACAGTTCTGGAGGCTGGGAAGTCCAAGATCAAGGTGCCAGCATGGGAAGTTGCTTCCTTTGGCTTGTAGACTGCTGCCATCTTCCTGTGCGTGCACATTTGACCTCTGCTTTCTGTGCCAGAGGGAAGAGAGGAGCAGAGTCAGACAGAACTCTCAGTATTCTTTCTTTAAAGGTCAATAATATTATCATATCAGGACCTCACCCAGAAGACCTTATTAGATTTTAATTGCCTCCTTGTAGGCCCTATCTCCAAAAATAGTCACCTTGGGAGTTAGGACTGCAACTTATGATCCTGGCAGTGGGATACTCAATTCAGTTCAGAGCAGATGCTAAAATTTAGAACTGAATTTCACTGTTTTACCAGGTGATAAGGTGCTATGGTTTGTGGCAGGTGTTTTTTAAACTCCGTTTTATTTCAATTTGATGTTTGTTTATTTTTTAAGAAACAAACATTAAATTTGTTTGATGTTCCCAGGTGATCAAAGAGATAGGAACCTAGCAGTGGCATTTGAAGTTGCCAACACTGAATCTTTGATCTAATGATCCTAGTTGTTAGCAAAACAAGGAAGAGAGATGTCACTCATCCATGTAAATTCACAACTCAGAGGTACAGAAATTCAGCTGGCATGGAAAGCACTTCCTGTTCTGAGTTAAATTTAGCAGTGAACCCCCTCCACCTGGATGATTTCTTCAGGTGGTGTTCCTGGGGGCAGGAAGGTGTGACCCCCTCTGGCTTTGTTATTCTCCAGCCCTGGCTAAAACCCGTTTCCTAGAGTGAACAGTTTCAGCATCATGGACTTAATTCCTGAGATTAACCAATCTTCTGATTAAGCTCAAGAAGGCATCCTATCTAATAAAAGAATAATATGCAAATTAACCATCACTCTGTGACAGAAATGGTGGTCCCCATAGCTGCTACAAGATGGCGGAGCCCAGTCCCCTCAGCCCCGCTGCTGGAGTGTCAGGGTCCGTTCACTGGAGGGGGCAGATCCAGCTTTCCAGCTCCACCGGTGTTGTAGCATCTGGGCCCATCAGCGCTGCAGGGGTTAGCAAGAACCAAGAGGCAAGGCTGGATCTGCCCCCAGACATGGCAGACAGAGCCCAGACAGCAGGGCTTGGGGGCTTCTTTCTCAGGGTGATGGTGAGGAAGCCCCCGGCCCAGCAGACAACTCAGACAGCAGGGCTTAGGGGCTTTCTTAGTAAGGTGGTGGAAGGAACACCCCAAGGCCCTAAAGACAGAGCCCAGACAATAGGGCATGGGGGCTTACTTAGAGTGTCAGTGTCAGCAAAGCCCCCAGGCCTGGCAGACAGAGCACACTGCAGGGCATTGGGGCTTCCTTCACATGTTACAGGGCAGGTACAGGCAGAGAGCAGAAAGCAGGGCATGGGAGCTTCATCGCCATGGCTACAGCGAACCCCCTGCAGAGAGTAGAGAACCAAGGGAGTGGGCCTAAGCCATCAGTAGAACATCCCCTGAAAGCTCCTGGATTGTAGAGGATGCAGGTTGGGTTTAGGGAACCCTGTGCACAAATTTTGTGCACTGGGCCCCTAGTATTAATACAGTTAGCTTTAGGAAGGGAAGTTACAACAGGAAACATTTCTTAGACCATCCTGTCCTTTATTTTGTTAGTTGATCAGGAGAGAGAGCCTCAGACCTCAGAATCAGGAATATAATCATAATATCTTGGAAATAAACATCCTAGTAACTGGAGAACAAGAATGGATTCTAGAAAAATCTCTGGGAAATTGTTAATGAAGTGATGAAGATTTTAATATGGTTATCCTGATTTGTATCATGGAAGCCATTTTGCCATGTTTTCTGAAGATCTCTGCAATGAGGGGATCTATATGTAAATTATATACCAGTTTAAGTGCAGGCTGTGAAGTGAATTTGCTGCTGCCATATTTCATTTGTGTGACTTTTCCCAAGTTTCCTAATTGCCTGTGCCTCAGTTTCCTTAGCTGTAAATGGAAGTAATAAATACAGTTGCCTCACAGGATTGTTGCCAGGGTTAAATGAAAAAATACATAAGTAATGTAAAAGAGAAGCTGGCACCGACTGTTCAGAAAATGATGGGTACCATCATCATCACCACCATCATTATCATCATCACCACCATCATAATAATCATCATCGAGATAAATTTGTTTGATTAGATCATAATGGTTGTATCTATGTGACAGTGTTCCACTGCTAATTGCCCTGGGATTGATATGAATGAAATCTGTTTGTATGCTGATGCTGAAAGTTTTTAATTCTAACAATAAGACATCTACAGTAGTCATGGATAGCACTAGGGGTTAAGCTATTTCTCTGGAAAAACTCTATACTTTTTTTCTATTGAAAAAACATGAATCAGTCAACCCATTGTACTTTTGTTGCCTTTATTACTGGAAAATTATAAGATGATTTTCAGTCACAGTGACTATTAGATCCTGTGACTAACATGTTTCTTTCCCCTTCTTATGAATTTGATTTTCTATTCTTAAGCTAAAAAAGCATTACAGGTATGTTTCTGCATTCCACTTTTTAGAATGAAGCAGGAAGTTCATAGACAATTGTTTAATTCATGTAGTCATTCCAGTTAATGTCTAAACTTTCTTTGGGAATTTCAATATTTTTGAAGCATGGTCTATATCATATTATATTTCATTTTTCATTAATATAAAATTTTATCGAATGCCTAAATATTTTCAACACACTAGACAGTATGGTTTCACATTTCAATAAGATCTTGTCTCTATCTTTAATGGTCTGAGCAAATAGTAGAGACACAATTATAAAATAATAATAATAATCTAATACACGTATGTATAAAAACATTTTAGATCAGGAGGATAGAAATTTCTGTCTTATTCATTGCTTTATTCCTACTCCAAACACAGCCTGGAACAGGCTGTGTAATTCCTCAATAAATTATTATTACTGGCATTTTACATATAATAAAATGTTACAACTAATATTTACTGAACAACTCATCAATATGTCAAGCTGTATACTGAGTTTTTCAAGGACACTATGAACTTGAAACAGTTATTAATGTTATAAACATAAGTGAGCACTGAGGTATAGAGAGCTTACTTAATTTACCCATAGTCATACCTAGTAAGAGCCAGACAGAGGCCCTTGATCAATATCTCACCCCACACACTCTCTACCTTAATATTGCAGGGGTTCAGGGATAGTTTCCCCACTTCAGGATAATGAAACTGATATTTCCTAAGGCAAGGTCAGCTTAGTTGGAGGCATATTCAAACTGGTGCTCTCAAAATGTGAAAGTACATATTCTTTTCACTATAGCACTGTCTCTTAGGCACCTAGACAATTAGGCATATATTAGTAGATGATGTATAGAAGTCTATACATGTTGTACTGGGACCTTGCCATGTAGCCACAGTCCATGATTACATGACATATAACATGCCTTATCATAAATATATATTTCATACATTTTATATATTTATGAATATATATGAAAATAAACATAAATATGCATTAATATATTTTATACATTTTATGTAGTTTAAATATACATTTACAATATATTAATAAAAGAGTAATATGTAAATAGGTTGGGACACTCTCATGCAATGACCGAACAGCAGGCTGTGTGGGGTGACCAGGCTGGCAGGGAAGAGCAGTTAGGGGCAATCAGGCCAGCATGGGGCGGGGCAGTTGGGGTAACCAGGCCAGCAGGAGGGCCAGTGAAGGGTGACCAGGACAGCAGGGGTCCAATAAGGGGTGACCAGGCTAGCAGGGAGGCAGTTAGGGACAATCAGGCCAGCAGGCAGAGGCAGTTACGGATGATCAGACCAGCGGGAGGACAGGAAGCAGTTACAGATGATCAGGCAAGCAGAGGCTGTTAGGAGCAATCAGGCAGGCAGGCAGGTGAATAGTTAGGAGCCTGGTCTCAGATTCTGAGAGGGATGTCCGACTGCCGGTTTAGGCCCATTCTACAGGTTCCGGCCTAAACCAGCAGTCGGACATCCCCGGAGGGGTCCCAGGTTGGAGAGAGTGCAGGCTTGGCTGAGGGGGTCTCTGGTGATGAATTTGTTTTATGCACATTATTTATTTATAAATATTTTTACTTCTTATATTTAAACTAGAGGTCCAGTGTACAAATCCATGCACCAGTGGGTTCCTTTGTCTGGCCTGCGGGATCAGGTTGAAACTGGCTCTCCAAAATTCCCCAAGGTGTCCTGGATTGCTAGAGGGCACAGGCCAGGTTCAGTGACCCCACTCGTGCACTATCGGAGCTGGGAAGGAAGCAGGAAGTTGGCCAGACAGGGAGAGACCACATGAGGGCTCCAGTGTGTGTCTAGGCCATCTCAGTCAGTCCCAACTAGCCAAACCCCAGCAGCAAGCTAACTTACCAGTAAGAGCTTCTTCTCTTTGGTGGTTAGTGCATGTCATAGCATGTGGTTGAGTGGCTTTAGCATATCAGTAGTATATTACACTTTGATTGGTTGGATGACCAGACAACAAAACACTAACCATATTAGGCTTTTATTATATAGGATATTTATATCATTAGTTTATTTTATATACTTTACATGTTTACACTTTTATTTTGAATGTTTTATATATTTGTACATTATTTCACATATGTTTATTTTTGGTAATTATGTATCAGTTATAAGAGATTATTCTAATTGATTGGCAAATGGTATCTTCTGTAAGTGTAACGTAAGTAATTTTGGCAACCTAGTTTACATCACACAATTTCAGATGAAATAAATGTCTAAAACACTGAGACAAGTCAAAAGGTACTAGAATATGTGAAAAGTGCTTTTTATAACTGTAGAGTGGGAGAGTACATTCCCAGACCTGATATAAAACCCACAAACCAGAAAGAAAAACATAGGCAGATCGTCAGCTTACCACTCTTAAATGTCTGAGTGGTAAAAAGCACAATGAAGTTACAGGTTGTTTAAAAAAACCAGATAATAAGAAAGGAATAAATAAGAATGTCATTCATAACACACAAATGGCTACTGGAAATCTATAAGGTAAGGAGGCTCCCAGGCATCTCTGGATGCCAGCATCTGGGGTTCCTTAGTCACTTGGCCCCTCGATGAAGGAAACCAAGCATGCTACTCTTCCTTGGCGATTTGGAGTACTCCAGCCTTGCTATGCCTTCTAGGCACTGCCTATGTGCTCCTGGTGGTTGGATTGGGAAGAAGAGAGAGTCAGGAACCTGTCCCTACAAGGCCATCTTCTCTGTAGTTATTTCTAAGCAGCTCTTGAGAGCCTTCTACACTGTAACGTCCTCTTCATCTACTTATATATCCCCTGTGCTTCGCACAGAGTGGGCACTCAGTAAATATTTTGGCAAGAGTAAGCAAATGATTTAATAGTCAACGAAGAGCAGATTGCTGATTCTCTCGATCTTTTCCATCCGCAGGGTTCAGGGCTAATGGCTGAAGTAGCTATAGTAAAGATGCCAACCTTTGAGACAGCCATGCACACTGAAGCTTTGCTTATGACTGAGAAGTTCTTTTATTAGCACCTTTTCAAACACTAACTAAAATAGAAACCTCTTCTTTTAAAGGCTTCAAAAGATGACAGTATGAATTTTTTACTGAAATCCATAAATACCAATAGCATAAACTGTAAATATTTCGTAAGAAAAGCTAAGCTACAGAAATACTCAGGCACTTAACCAAAAGAGCTAGATTTAAGGTTTTTAAGGCTTATATGGCTTATACTTTTCAGAACACATCCCACACAGGCATTTATAAATCTTTAAAATTATGTGATATTTGGATATTGAGATTTACGTTTAGATATTTAGGTAGATATTCAGATATTTAGATGATATGTGGATAGCAGGTTTGACAAAACAAACAAACAAAAAATTGGATTATTTTATAATATTATGCTTCTTCTACTGTGTTTTCTGTCTTATATTTAATTCCCCCCCCCCCTTCTTTTGGCATATTCTCCCTGGGTTATTGGCCATTTTTACATGCATAAAAAATTCCTCTTAACATGTACCAAAGTTCCTAAATTTTTAAAAAATATCCTTTAATTATTATGGTCTCTACTTTTTATTTTATTTTAATTAACAATATTTTGGAGATCCTCAGAGTTAGTTTTGGGTACATATGTGTTATCTTATTAAGTGTATAGAAGTGAATCATTCAACAGATTGTTAGTTCCAAATAATCTTGAAGTGAAGGAATAATAAGAACCCTAAATCTGAGAATTTCACATATTCAGAAATTTTTTCATAAGAGCATTTGAAATGTACTAAGCTGATCACATTAAAGTCTCCATGAAATAGACTGATTTAAGATTGCTGTGTTTGGACAGAAATACCTTCTAACTTGAGAGCAATCAATCAATTATTGGCTGGATAACATATATCTAAGGTTTTAATGGACTCCAATATTCTGATGGTAAAAAATAAAAAAGGTTTAAATATTTATGAATTTCATGGCTAATACTGGTAATGAGAAATAAGGATGTATTCCTTTTTTGTTCCGAGTATATATTGGTAAGTCTACAGAATTTGAGTGAGAATTTACCCATGTGATTCTGTTTAATAAAAAATAAATCAAGGATTTCATGGTTATAGTTGAAATTTAGCTGAAAGTATCAAGCATAATAACAAAGGCCACCTGCCAAGGGCTTCATGAATATGATATGAATTTTTGAAAGGTAGAGTGATTTGCTACAAGAGAGAATTGCTTTGAATTCATTTTCAATTAAAGGTTTTTGATAATTTGAAATTTTCTAGTTGCAAGATAATCTGATCACAAAATAAGAAATTTTATCATTGTAATTCAAACTCATGTCAATAGGAAATAATAAATACTACTTAATCTGGAGTGACTTAATATTTATCCAAATACAGTTGGTTTTGCATGAACACTGGGGACTGAGTGAAACATTGTTTGTTTACTAATGAACCAGGCAGATATGAAATGAGCAGTGACTGGCCACAACAGAAGAAATTTCTGAATTATTCATACTTCCAGTGGAAACAAGAATTCCTATGGGGAGATGGGATGGGCGAGGGGAAAGGATTTTTTTCAAATCTTCATTAGGAATGATGACCATCCAGCCTGGCTTGTTCAGCTATGAAGCTCTTTGTATTGGAATATTTCCTTAAACCATTTTAAATATCAATCCAGAAAGATTAACAGAGCAACAACAAAAAGGCACCTTATCATAGCACTGTTGCATAATTAATATAAAGGAGCATTGTATTAAGATAAATGAATACGTATAGGAAACAGGGATTTGTTTTTCAAGAAGTACACACTTTGTTTTAGTTCTGATTTCAGATAAAAGCAGAAACACTAAATATTATTGAATCCAGAATATTTGTAGAAATAAAGTAACTACTTTTTATTTGTGTGTGAACACAAGTGTGCCTGTGTGTGTGTGTGTGTGTGTGTGTGTGTGTGTGTGTGTGTATGTACGAAGTTGAATGATTCTGTAGTTATTTCTTATGTTTATTTTGAAAAGTTTCTAGGAAAAAAATCTGTTTTAAGTACATATTTTTTCCTTTTTGCCTTTTATAGAATTTTCCTGATTTTTTAAAAAAAATTTAAAGCCCAGTTCAATGATTATCTATATTAAAAGTTTAATGAAAACCCCAAACCAAAATCATTGTCTTTTACAAGTAATTCAAATGGATATTTCTTAACATAAATTATCAAAACTTACAGAACTATTTATTCAATTCTTCTTCATTTTATTGGTGAAACCCAGGAGATTGAAATACCTTTGTCATTCTACATAAATCAGTGAAACAGCCATGACTAAAAACCAAGCATGCTGGTATAGTTCTGTTTAATTAGGAAAAAGATGATAAGTTTCCTTAATTCTCCCAAACACTAGTGCATCTCAGGAAAACTCAGCAAAGCCCTGTTTTCTGGAGAGGAGAAAAGTTGCAGTTGATATGTTGAGTATATTGTGATGTTTACTAGTACTGCAAATAGCACTTAACTATGGATTCTGAACATGGATTATATTTTCTCAAAATTAAAATTATTGGCTGGTATGGAAGCGATCAGTTTCTTCATTTTATCCAACTGATTTTTATGTGGTAATGGAAGATTGTACCATTCAATATCAATTTAAAAATAATTTTTACCAAGGTGAAAAGGAAATTGACAGGGAGCCTATTGATGATTATCCAAACTGGAGAAGGGATAGGTGCTCATTTTCTCTATTTGCTATCTCCCTCCAAATCCCACCCATCCAGTCTCCACCATTATCTTTCCCGCTCTCTATGGTAGGAAGGTGGGCCAATGGACAATTTGGGTGTGGCCAATGGGAGGCAAGGTCAGGCTCTTGGAGGGCGAGGGAGATGATATTTATCCCCTCTGCTTCAGCACCATATTTCTGGTAGTGGCTAACTATGTCCCTCCCACAGCTCTCACCAGTTGCAGTAATTCTATTTTCATCACACCCCATCCTCATACTGCATCCCATCTCTTCAGGCCCAGGGGCAATAATAGCTCTTGCAATGACTAACCAACTTCCCTTGTGGCTTCTCAAACCTGCCCACACCTCTTAAGATCTCCCTTCATTAAAGTTTCTTCACATTCTTTATCTGATTTAAAAATTTTTACCTCGGGTTTTAACTGAAAGTGTTCCCAAGTCCTAGGTTTGGGAACACTTAAGAAAGACTAAGACGAGCATTAGGAATCAGCATGATTAATTGCTTAGACAAGCACATTAGTTTTTCTCTGTACAGTCATCCCCAACGAATGGGTGTTTACAATGGATTATATCTGTGTAACATTTTTCCTTTCTTTCTGATAAGTTATTTTTATTAAGAAATCTTATGAAGTCATCATGGAAGATGTTTTCAAATTGTATTTATGTATAATTTATAGACATTGTTAATTTATTGAATAGTAACATCAAGATTCAAAGAGGTTTCAAAATAGGGAGTCCTGGACATGTAGAAGTGGCATTTTTATCGACATTGCACACACATTACAAGTATGCATGTATGAATGTGCATACACTGAGTGATTTCCTTTGATCATAAATTCAATATGAGGTAACCTTGTGGTTTGGCTGCTTCGAAATATTCCTCACAGTTTAGGCATCTTTCAAAGGAAACCAAGGCAAATAGTACTCTGCACCAGCCAGACCACACTTGGAGATGTGCTTGTTTCCAGTTTGGGGCACTATAATGAGCAGGGAAACAACCAGGAGAGCTGCTGCCACAGGCTTCCAAGCACAGGGTGTTGAGTGCTG